GCCGTGACTCGTCACCGCGTCATCTCCCCTTAACGCCATAAGGACGCTGCTGGCCTCACAGCTCCTGCTCAACCCTCATACCTGTCTCACATAACACACCTCCATTCAGGAGATGCCCAATGACTTTACGTGATCCACTCTGGCTTGGGTTGCCCCCTGTCAGGCCAATAGAAGGTCTTACCCGTCATTGAGTAGCCACTCGTGCCCACTGGTGACCGCTCTTTCCAATCACACAATCAGTTCTCTTCAACAGAACTCAGCTGTTTTCTGGAGCTTAGGAAAGGCACGTTCAAGAGTCATCCAGAGCCATTCCGATTGCCTAATAGTGTTCACATAGGGAGACAGATTAATAACAACAGTATTTAATCACTTAAATCCATTAACCATCTTAAAAGCAGAAACCTAGCTGCTTAGATTTATACTCAGTGAATTTAGATCACAACCGTACATTCAGTGTACTTCATCTGTAGCCGGAGCCATCGGTCCTGAATGGTGGAGACTAAATGAGACAGAGAAGTTACTGTCCTAAAATAAGCTAATCAAAATGTCATCTCTATCTGTATTATTGTTTTAAATACTTCTTTAAAAAGTCATTCAGTTTTACTTCTAAAACAAATTGCTCTCTAAATGGTTTCTTTTACCATCTCTGTGTCTATGATTCTTCAACTGAAACACTGTGCTTTACACATTATCACAGATACCAGCTTTTAGCTGACTCATTGAATGAGAGAGACTCTGAGACTCTATTGGATGGTACACTGCTCTCTCATATACTTCTAACATCAAACATTTATCTATCATCTTTTAACTCTATCCCAGCTTAAGGCATCTTTGCCAGAAATTACATACGGTTTCAAATAAACATATTATTTATATTTGTCTTTTGCCCACCTCAGGGAATTTAGACATTACAAATTTTCCACTCAGATTGAGTCTGTTGCACTGGCAGTTTCAGCCACAGCACACATCAGATTTTAGATAAGCGAACTGTTTCATTACAGCCCATAACAAACTTATCTTTTGAAAGCAAAACATCAGCTCTGTTCTTTTCATGGTCAACACTAGCAGGCCTTTTTTGTTTAATCAAATGCCTTTCAACACATTTTACATTTAGCAACTGTTAATTCAGTAGCCTACTGCTTCTGCTTATTTGTTCTTACATAATGGTAATTATTCTAGTTCTCAATAACATTTCACATTTCTCAATCCCTATTTTAGTTGTCAAGTTCTCAATTACCATAACTTAATATCTGACCTCAAAGTTTTCTCTTCTAGGAGTTTATCAGTCTCCAATCAGGATTCACACTAACTTTTACAAGGCTACTGCCTCTTTTGCAGTTATTATAAATCATCTTTGAGATCTGTCTCTCTATATTACCTGAACCCTTTTAAAAATGCTTAATTAAAACACAATTCTCCTTCTAGTTACCTTTACTATATTTTGCAACTCACATTTGTTGCAGTCATTCATTTTGCATCAACCTGTATTCAATTCACTTATAAAAATTACTATTATAGATCTTTTCTTCAAAAGGATTCACTTTAAGATCAATCTTTTGACCTTGTTTTTTATCTCTTATTTCTCAGACCAAAAATTGTCACTGTCGTCATTTAAACACTGATCTATTTTCAAACCAATATTATTACCAGAAATGTGTTGTCATTTTATCACATTTTTAAACACCTTCTCGGTGGTAATTTACAGTTACCTACTAAATTGTCCTGATGACCACCATTAAAACACTCTCTGTCATCTAGTGAATTTGTTTCAGCCTCAACTTCAGCATCAGACACCTGTCCTTGACTATAGTTTGATCACTGTGAGCTTGCAAACGGCTCCAACTAACTGCACACTCTTGAAGCAGTGTGTCCCATTCAGGAATGTAAACAGAGCCACTGATAAGCAGTTCTCTGTATTCCTTTGACCATCCACCAATGGCGGATTCAAATCACAATAGCCAAATCATACTCTTTATCATTATTATTGGCAGAACATAATTTCATGAGCAGCACAGAAAATGCTCAGAATATTCGAATTTGTTTTCTGTCTTTACCTTAGTAATTTGGTATTATCATCAACAACACTAATTACAAGTACTGTTGCTGTTATCCCAGCTTATCTTTTACAAAACATCATCTGCAAATCTCTTCAAAGTGAGATCTTCAGAGCAGAGCTGTTTACAGCATTTGCTCTCTTCTGTCTCTCTATTTATTTATCTATTTATTTATTTTCCCGGACTGTTCAGTTACTCTTCATAAAGTGTAACAATTTGTACATCATTATTTTCATTACAACTGGTTTGAAGCCTTTTTTTCTTCCATCACATTATTGTCTCAGTCTTATCTCTACTGTTTCTCCAAAACAGATTATATTACTCAGTCCGTAAATTACACAGACAACCATTATAGCTACTTGCTTCAATACCCTTATTTTCTTAACATTAATAAAATAAAGCAGATATATCATCATTATTTTATCAAAATCTAGAATTGTTCCCCATTCTGCTTAAAACATTCTTCATATCATGTTAATCCCTGTCAATCATACAATGCCTTATTTTATTCTAAAACTTTTCATATCATTTAAACTTCCATAAATTCTATCAGACCATGTCTATTTTCATCACATATAGTTCTCTACTATATTTCCTCCTTTCTTTTCCCTACATGCCAGTTCCTTCATTATCCTCTCCTTTCTTTTCTCAAACATGCCAGTTCCTTCATTATCTAACCAGTACATGATTGTTTGAACAATCCCCACACACACATGTCTCACACACCAACCTTTTGTTTTTTTTTCACTTCCCTCTTCCACCAAGTCTCACTTACAGTTCAGTTCCCTCTATTTCACACAGACAGGCTTATTGCTTCTTGCTACTTCAATCCTTGTCATATAAATTTAAGTTCTATAGACATCCCATGTCATGCATCCATTATCTGTTCACATTTTTACACACATGTTGAACGCAGCCACAACAACCTTTTGTCCCGCTGCCCTGTTCCACTGATTCTCGCACACTCTTAGTCTATTTGTGCTCAGTGTTCCCTCCCTGGGGAAATCATGGTATTTTCTCAGTTTTTTCAATATCTAAAACATACATTTTCCCCCATACTTTCCTAGTTCTACAGAAAACCGGTGTATCAAATTTCGCAAGCTTGCTTTTGAGACATCCCCATACTGGCTGTTTTCTGTTCTCTGTGGATTTCTCTTCAACGCGCGTTCTCTTGGTCTGAAAGGCGTCCCTCCCAGACCCGATTTTTCTTTTAACCCAAATCGGTCGGGTTGCACTATTAGTGCCCTCCTAATTATGGTTTACCAAAAAATCTTTTCTGGTTCCCCCTAATTAGCCTCAGCACCTAAAAACAATTTGCTCCGTGGTGGAACAACTAATTTTCAGGGTACCTATCTGTTTGGAATCTCTTGATCTGTTACAGTTCTCACTTAATCCCAGATTATTTATCTGCTTGAAATTTCTTGTTCTGTCACAGACCTCAATTAATCTCAGATATTTTCTCTCGTATCTGTTTGAAACCTCTTGATCTATATATAGATCTCAATTAATCTCAGATTACGTACCACAGAAACAGCCCTCAGCCAATATGGTTCAATTTCACTCTTTCCCCAATTAAACTGAATTTAATTAACTTACCCAAAAGAAAATAAATTGAACTGTCTCTTACCAGAGATGCTTCTGTTGCCACCTGCGGGTTCTTTAGGTTCCAGTGGTCGATTCTCCCGGCCCTGATATCGGTCGGCCCCTCTCTCTCAAGTTTACGAGGTAGAGCTGGAACTTACTTAGCCCAGGTGGCCAAACACCGTCCGATCTCAGGTCCAGGAGGCACGTCCAAGGAATATCACTTCTGACACCAAAACTGTTGTGGCAAAAACTCATCTCAAACATACATCACTGCGTAAGAGACACTCAGAGTCAAATTATATAAAATAGAAGTATTTATTCTTGCAAGAATAGGAGCAGTCTAATACACAGTTGTTACCCTGTGCAGAAGAGTGACACACCCCCAGACAGACTGAACCAGCTTTTATCTAAGTTTCAAGGCCTTCTTTCCCCCAGAGCCTTCCTCCCAGTAGTTTTCCATAGACTAAGCCCCCCTGCACCAAATGGCCTTCCGACATCTAGGTCAGAGGTCCCTGTTCGTCTGCTCCCTGGAGTGTCTCCCCCTTCTGCTTCCCCAGGTACATAAACAGAATCTTGTCTCACTACAAGTAAGAGACACACATGTGACATTCTTTGAATCATCTATATTTTACACATTGAATAGGTTCTCTCTCTTATGATATCTGTTAGGGATCAATGACTATTAAAATTTCCACAACACGCGTCAAATTCGCGCCTACCGCGTCTAGTTATAGCATACGCGTGAACACTTTGAATCCATTCGCGCGTCGAGAGCAAATGACGCGCGTAAAAAAACTAAAGTTTAGACTGGCTGCCTGCACATTCACTGTCCTCGCGGCTGCTGCAATTGGAAGGGGCTGGCTGCAGGACGACTCAACTTCCACGGACAGTTTTTAATATTTAATATCAAGATTTTGCTTTAGTATAATTTTCGGGACAATTAAGGCCGGTTTCGGGATTCGGGACAACAGCTTAGATTTGGGGACTGTCCCGAATTTTTCGGGACTTCTGGTCACCCTAGGGAGGAAAAATCTGAGGGGGCACGTGCCCCCTCACTTTGAATTGGCATGACGCCACTGAGCAGAACCAATATCCCAATCTGATTCAAAAACACCTTGATTGCAAAGTTGACATTTACATCAGTTATGTGATCAAATGATTGAGAAGTGTGAACAGTGTCTCTGTAGGAACTAAAGCGGTTGTCATGTGGACACAGGATTTGTTCACTCATTTGAAATAAAAGGTTTATGTAGTCTATTGATTGCATCATGCATTTCATCACTGTGCCCATATGTGAAGCGCTTTGAGTACCCAGATAAGCGCTGTATGAATGTAACAAATTATTATTTTGTCTCGTGTCAGATCCCATTGTGAAGGAACAGGCGAGGATTGGCTCCACTTCAGGCCTGTCCGCTGGATCCACTCCTGTCAGCACGTCCAGTATGATCACAGGTCAGTCATGTGACTCCCTCCGGGATCATGCTTATTGAATTGAGAATCACAAACTAGAATTAAGATTAAAAGAGTATTTTTCTGTGTTCGTGAGAAACATGACGTTACTAAAAGGCATTGATCTGCAGGGTTAGGGTTAACACGTCAGCTGATCCTTGACTTATTGCGAGTGTGTTTGCTTCTAAATGCTGATGGTGTTTGTGTGCCTGTAGGAGGCGTCACATCCATGTCCTCGTCCCAGCCGATGGCCAACATCGCCGGCTCTCCGGTCATCTCGTCTCCCAGTGCTCTCGCCACACAGATTCCTGCGGCCGCCGGTGCGATGCCCTGAACACACACACACACACTCGCTCTCTCTGCCCTGGGCCACAGTTTTATGTTGAGTGTAAACAAACTAAAGAGAGACTAAACTAGGTTTCTTTTTTTTCTTCCTTTTTTCTTTTTCCATACAATAATTATATATTGAAGCTGGGACACACAGTTGTTATGTTGCATCGGTGTCCGGCAGTCTTTCCTGATGATGATGATGATGGTGTCTATATAGAAGCCACTACAGTGTAGAAATTCAGAAAATGGATAATAAAATTTATTTTATATGTCCCTATTTTGGCTTCTGTTTGTTATTCGAACAATATGGATATTTGCTGATGAGATTGTTGTTAATCTACAGGTTTTGGGGCATCTTTACACGCTTGGCGCGTTAAACCAAGATGGCGGCTGTCACAGCGAGCTGGTAATATCAAATATCTGGTATTACAGATGTCTGCAGGTCTGTTTTTTACCAGATTTACTGCAGTTATAATGCTATCGTTGTTTCATTTGCTCCAGTACCGTAAAGTGCGGGTCAACCGCTTTGTTTGGACAACTCACAAACGCCAATACGGGCACTCTTTAACAACTAAAGATCAACAACTCAAACCCGGCGTGGAGCCTTTACTACACCAGCTGAACTGGGTCCTTTGCTGTGTTGTTGCTGTGTCGTGCCTGTTTGGCATAACAAACGCCTTTAATGTTGTTCAAGTCCCTAGCCATCTTACTTGTCTCGAGAGAGTGACAGAGCCTGAGTGGGGATGTCCGGCCTCGAGACGTGGACGTGGCGGAGAGACGGACGCGACCTTTTCGCCCTCCCGGAGAGGCGGGTTGTGGTGTGCGCCCAATGTCCAGCACGGAGGAGCCATATGTGGAGAAGTTTGCAGTGCTCTACCTTATGTATGCAACCGGAGGATCATGCAGGTTGTGCCTCTCGTTTTGACATCATTCCTCAGTTCGAACGGACAATCATTTCGACCCGCGCTATCATCTTCCACCGGTGGGTAAATGACTTTAAGTTCAAACCCATGGCCATGAGAGATGCTGCTACTGTAGATAAGCGCCAACAGTCCTCATTAAGACTCCTACTCTCTGTTCTTTTATTTATCGGAAATATTGAACTAAACCCTGGTCCGGGCAAAAATGCCTTTATGTCCGCTTTTTTATATTTCCTGGGATTTTATACTCATGTTTTAAATAACAGTTTGGGCATGGGTTTACATGCAGGTGTCCCACACATGGATTTATCTCAATCTCAGTGTTTTCAACAACCTGTAGGCACATTGATTACACCTCAGTTGCCATTTAATTCTCCTTCTGTTATCCCAGGCTTTAATTCTAAACCTGTCAGAGCACAAAAAAGACCATTGTGTCTAAGGAAAAATCCAGTTACTTTATGCCAACTTGGTAGAATCAGAGGTTTCAAAGTTTGCCATCTAAATATGAGAAGGATGAATTTAAAATCATGCTCACTCAAACAAAGGCTCATGTTATGGCAATATCTGAATCATGGCTGACTCCTGTTATACCAGACTCATTTCTTGCGATTGAAAACTATTCATTATATCCAGTGCTTGAAGTGGGGGGAAAAAGGTGCCGGTACTCTCTTGCATTGGCAAATCATGACATTTTAAATTTCTACAGTGAAAAACAAAACTTGGAAATATTGCTGGTACAACAACAATTTATTGTTATTTATTAACAACACAAATGTGCGTGTGTGCGCGCATTTATTTACAAAGAAACATTCTCTTTTTAGAAGTTGGTCATTAATAAACTTGATTCTTGAAGTTTGTTAAGATGGGAGGTAGACTATACAACAATTGCATGTAAATGGTAAATAACAAAAACAACCTAGTAAACAGCTCTGATATTGTCTTTTCAGTCATATGTTTACAAGACAGCAAGCATTTAAAAAAAGTAAACTCGGGTTTGATTTGGGCATGTACCTGTCTGTGTATATTACATAAACTAAAAGAAAGCTTATATTCTGACTAGTTTGCTCGTTTTATTTATTAATAAAACATATAGTTTTTTACCCAAACTGAATAATTAAGACAAGTTTAAATGGCTAAATCTTGTATAAATATTTTTGAGTCTTCATTTTCTTTTCTGACGTAGGCTATCCTACTCCAGTTCTTGTTAAAACACACTAGACATGCAAAGACACATCTAGACTAGACACATCTGTGCATTGTGGGCACTTTTTGTGTGAAATCATATTTATTTTCTCCATCAAAAGTGTGCTTTACTTTCACTTTAAATGTCGTGAGTAGCACAACAATAGATCGGCGCCGAACCCCCGCTTCACTGCTGCTCACGCGACGCTCCTCCTCGCGGTGTGAATGCACTCATTGATTAAAGGTGCTCTAAGCGATGTCACGCGTTTTTTAGGCCAAAACATTTTTTTGTCACATACAGCAAACATCTCCTCACTATCCGCTGGCTGCCTGTCCCCTGAACACACTGTAAAGAAACACGATCTCTGTAGACAGCCCAGGCTCCACAAACAGCAACAAAAACGAACTGCGGCGACCCACTCCACGAAACATAACAAACTGTTCCAGCCAATGACCGACAAGAAGGGTTTGGGGGGTTAGTGTGGAGATCATAGACATAATAAATACATGTCTATGGTGCAGATGAGGAGGAGGGTCTAGCTAGCCTCCGTTTTGTTTGACAATAGTTCGAACGTCAACAAGAAGTGACGTCACCCAGGATCGCTTAGAGAACCTTTAACATGCAAGCCGAAAAAAATACGCGCTGCTCACGCTTGCGGTAGCCGCGATCAGCTCCGGTAGCCGTTTCGCAGTCGTAACGTGCCGCAGATGTGTGCAGTGTAAATAAGGGGTTAAACGGCCATCACGCTTTTTCTGTCAGTAGAGTACCGGCTACATAGCCTGGTAATACCAGACTCTGCTACTTCACTTTGCTTCGTACACAGAGTCTGGGATAGCATAATAGAGAAGTGTTTTCTCTCTCGCTAGGGGGCGCGTACTGAAGTTTAAAATCATTGGTTACCCGTAAGCCAATCAGATAAGTTTGTTTATGACGTATGTTATGCGCCGACACAGCCGCATCGAACCACAGACATCATGCATCGAACTCAAATCTATGATCGAACTTCCACTGTAAACACTTGATGATGCGAGCGAAATACCCGAGTGAACATGCATGGCTATAAACGACTTTTTTGATCTGTGAGTGATGTAATAGAATGACTGCTGCGCTTGACAGGGCACAAACGAGCAGAGAGAGAGAGAGAGAGAGAGAGAGAGAGAGCGAGAGAGAGAGAGAGAGAGAGAGAGAGAGAGAGAGAGAGAGAGAGAGAGAGAGAGAGAGAGCGAGAGAGAGAGAGAGAGCCCCGGCCGCGCGCGCGCACTCCCACGTCTACAAACAACACGAGCGCTGTCTTGCTCTCTCTCCCTCGCGCAAATTCATAAAAATCAATCGACAAGATAGTAAGAGGTCGGAAGACCGCGGTTTCACGTGGAGCATTTGGAGATTTTTAGAGATTATAGACTCTAGGAACAACATCTCAATGAACAACATCTCAACTATAAAGGCCTGTCTCATATAAGTTAGACGCCTATCTCAAGTACAAGCCGGTGCAGTTCGACGATTTGGGCAAATAAAAGGCCGGGCTATTATTTGAAGTTTTACGGTATTTAAGACCTGGAAAAGAAAAGAGACACTGACCTGTCAAAAGGCTCCCCAGTTTCTCGCTGACGATCGGTAATAGTTGATAAATTAAACTTTTCCCAAAGGGAGTAGGGCCACAACATCACCTCCATTCAAAATGTTTAATACACACTCTTCGTGTTCGGGCTTCAGTTTGCTAATGCCGGGAATATTCTCCACAACAGAGCGAATTGCATCCGCGTCTCCATATCAGCGGTCGTTTTCGATTTCCCTGACCTAATCTTAAACACGGCGCTTACCGACTACGTCACGGCTTTCAGCCCGCCCTCTGTTCGTTGATTGGCCAGGCTGTTTTCAGGCCGGTGGAAAACAGAAAGATAGGCTGCTATCTCAGACTGACTACAGGAGCGAAATGAAATTAGCGGAAGTAGGAAGTCTGACGTAGTCAGGCTACCGGCTACATGCGAGAAGTAGCGATACGCAAGAAAAAGTGCAGGTACGCTTAAGAGTAAAATGTAGAAGTGCCGGTGTTGTGCCTAATTTCGACCCCCTGCCAAATTATTACCCCCCTCGTTGAAGTCAGTACCTGATTGCCTAATCCCAACCCCGCCCCTAATCCTACCCCCTCCTCCACAACTAATCCTAAACCTACCAATGCTAGGGGGGTAATAATTTGGCGGGGGTCGAAATTCGGCACAACGGAGTACCGCGCCACTTCGAGCACTGATTATATCGCAAAGACAGGATTGATAGAACTGGTGGTGTTGCTCTTTATCTACATAAAAAATATGCACATTCTTTAGTAAAACTATCAACAGTATCAGAGTCACTTCAATTGGTTATTCATTTTACAAATCAATTTTCAGTTACTATTATTGTCACTTACAAGCCTCCAAATGTCAGTCCAACTGCATATTTATTGCCGTTTTCGGACTTAATAAAATCTGTTAAAACTAACGAGCTTGTTATTCTTGGTGACATAAATTTAAATTGGATTGATAATTCCTCTAAACTTCTGAAAACAACTGCTATAAAATATGGTCTTCATCAATTAATTAGCCCTAAAGATCACACTAGATTTGGTAAAACACGAAATTCTATTTTGGACCTTATTTTCACTAATCAACCTTCCAATTATGGCATATCAGGAGTGATAAACACAGCAGTTTCAGATCACTCACTCATATATGTCTTTAGGAAATGTTTTAAACAGCCAAAATGTCATAAAAATAATTACATCAAAAAAGTACCAAATTCAAAAATTGCTGAATTTGCTGATACTGATTGGGGTAACGAGATGTTTTTACAAAATCCTGATCATGTTCTGTCAAATTTCCATAGGAGAGTGGAGACAATACGTCAAAAATATACAACTACCTGTAAAATACATATTAGACAAAATACAGTTCCTTGGTTAACTCCTGCTATTTTACAGCTCCTAAAAAAGAAGGCCTCTTCCCTGAAAGACTTCAGATTATTAAAAACACCTGAAGCTAAGCTTATTTTCACACAGTTTAGAAATAAGTATAATTTTGAATTATACAAAGCAAAACAGCCTTATTATGAAAATCAAATTAGTCGAACAGTTTCCAACCCAAGAACTTTATGGCGAACATTGAAATCTATAACTGGTGAAAATAAAATTAAAAATAA